CTTCTGTTTCCCGGGGGGGGGGGGTTGTGCATGATGAATTATGAATTCATCCGGCCTGTGAATACTTAGCAGCGCAGGCATGTGAATACTTAGCCGTCAAGTATGAATGAACATGACGGATCCGAAATCTGAAAACTGATATCTGATGTATTCCACAAAAACCGTTTTTTTGGCCCGGCGGCCAGTATGTCAGTTGATTCGGTGAGGGTGTCGGTGACTTCCTGTGAAAGTCCAGTGAGTGGTGGTGCTTTGTGGTTGTTGCTTTCCCATGCAACATCGGCGCCCCAGTGACGGGGATCACACTCAGCACCCGAGTGGGACGGCTGAGCGAAACACACTCTGACACTGGTTTTCAGTTAACGCAATTGTCACGTTGGGAAGAAAGGCGGTGGAACAGCATGGCGGAAAGTCTGAGACAATTGTAGGTGTTTGAACAAAAGCTGTTTCCCTTGACTGCAGTGACGAAGCGGCGCAACTCAGCTGCAAAAGTGGCTGTGGGAAACCTGTTGGTGGGGAAAGTCCCATGGAAACCACCATGAATCAAATCGAGAGTGGAAAAGCTTGGTCAACAGTTGAAGGTGCAGGTACACAGGGATGATCAGTCCCTGCTTCCCCTTCTTGTCCACAGCTTCATTGCGTGTGGTAGGACAAGAAGGCCACACGCCCCTGCCTGATTGGAGTGGTCGAAGGAAACCCTTTGTCCAGGGGTGGACACACACACACACACACGCCGACTTCACCACTAGGTTATTGCTGCTCCACGTTCGGACAGTGAGGTGCTGATGTTGCCCTCACCCGGGCCTTTGAGACTCTGAGACCAAAGGATATCAAAGGAACGGAAGCAAAACAACACTGTGCTAAAATATGCTGGACCGAACTACTCAACTGCATCCAGGGTTTCTTGTTGTTTCTGTATTGTTACCGGTTACTGTTCCCATGTTCCCCATACAAACCACTTGGAGACCATTGTTGCCCTAACCTGTTGGTTTGATCAGCTCCAAAGCCCTGGTTCTTCCTACACCTTCCTGGAGATCCTCTTTTTACTTAAACACTCCACGCGTGGAATGAGTAAATATATATATATATATACAGTATATACCTCTACTATATTACATCGAGCCAAATAAACGCCAATGTAGGTATAAATATGCCGTACATGAAGTGTCAAGGATATTTGGCTTTCACCTGAGCACATGTCGGTGTCATCCATCGCCCTTCGCGGTGCATTCATTGTTGTTTGCTTTGCAAAAGAACTGCAGCGCAGCAAACCCACGTGTATAGCATGTCATGCCCAGCGACATAAATGCCGCCCCATCGGTAGTTGCCTTAGTCTGTGAAACCATATGAAACCTAGTTGACTTAGAGCACTGGTGATAAGGGAACATGACTACGATTTGCAGAAACTTCACAGAAATGTCACAATAAGCCCTGGGTTCACCATGTCCACCGTGCGTAGCTGAAGTGAGGAAGATGTCTGGGAGCCTTGTCGTTGTATATCCGCCCAAACGGCCGACCGTGTGACCGCAAATGCCGGTACGAAGCCGGATCACTCACCCTTATGCTGGTGCACGATGGGTGAAATGCTTTTAGGACCGCTATCTCATATCACACGTATTTTACATAGATTCAGGACATTTCAGGACCATGTCCAACATCTGGGAATGGTCAAAAGATGTCAAAGGTTACTGGCAAACACCCCGGCCTCAGTAGCTTTGGGAATCAACCAGCATGTCTGCATGTCCTTCTTGGCCAAAGGAATCATCACAGTGAATCTCTTCATGGAAACGGGTGGAGTCAACTCGTGGGAACAATGGCCCCCGAAAAAAGCGGGAGGTTTCTGTGATGTTTCCCATCTGAACTCAAGGAGGATGAGGAGAACGGTTGCATGATCGTCCATAGGTTCCTCAGGGCATACTTTGGCACAAGAAAGCCATCCCCTCAAGTCAAAGGCTCAGGCCGGCAGGAAACTTCTGATAGTAGTTCCCTGGCTGTTCACACACACTCGAGATATGCATATGATCTGAATGCCCCAAGCCACGAAGAAGCCTAGGTGACAAACATATGCCTAAGTAAAACACATAATGCATGACTGCGGGCCTGGAAACCTAAACAGCCTATCACCTTTACAAGCGGATAATAGTTACAACTCTCACAACCGAAGCAGGTACACGGGACTGGCCGCGCCAAGACCCACATCCCGCGATAATCACCCTGCTTTGTAGTTCAACAAGGAAAAGAACAGTCCCAGAGGCTCCCTATAGTATGAGGACTATGAGTCCAGGCGATGCACAAAAACACACGGGCACACACTGTGAAGACTCCTCGTGGGAGAGCGCAATTAGATACAAGCCAATAGACAAACAAACAGACAGACAGACAAAGACAAAGACAGAGAGACAAAAAACAAACATCACATCACATCACATCACATACACACTCTGTGAGAGTGAGACCCTCTCACTCTCTGCTCATGCCTCAACACGGAACAGTGGTGTTTTACAAGTGCAAGCAAGGCACGCGTGTAGTCCAGGGGCAAGCACACCAACAAACGTCCAAAGGCCTAAGCAGGCCCGACCCCAGCCCCCCCTTTGACCCCTCAATCATTAGTTTTGACACCCCAAAGGCCTATCTTTCGCTGGCTCTTGGGGTCTGTTCATGACTTACAGTGGATCTAGCGGTCACCTCTCAGGCGGTCACCGAAAGAAGGCCTACTTGGAACCACTCCCACTGCCCTCCAACTCCACGTGACCGCCTCGGTCAGTGGCGGTCGCGGTCGAGGGGCGTTCACAAGACCGAAGACGCTGGAGAGCTCCGTCCCGCTGACCGAGGCCTCCGCCGCCAAACGGCCCAGGCAATTCAGGAAGCCTGGCGGCGACCCATCGCGGTCGGGGTTCTACCCAGAAACGGTCTTTCTGGGAGGGGAAGGAGTTGAAGCGCAAACAGGTTTGCGTGATGCGAGGTGAAACTCGCACCTGATTGATTCGGTTGATTTCGAGCATGTTTCAATCGGTTGTCATCTCAAGTTGGTTTCAAAACGGCATTGACAGCATCTGCGGGAGTGGATTTCAGGCATCCTTTCTCTCACTTCCAGTGGAAGGAACTCCATGGTGGACCCTTCTATTGTACCCAATTCTGGTCTGAGAAAAGCTCTGTCTCCAGGTCCGCATATGTGTCCCGGATCTGCAGGTGCGTTCCCTACGAAAACTCCTTGAAGCAGCTCCCCCGGTTTCGCAGCTTCGCCCAGAGAGTAGGTGTGATTCCGCTCCCCCGTCCGGTGACAATCAAGGAGCTGAAGCTAAAACCAATGGCACTGCAAAAGAGCAAGAACATGTAGGCAAAATCCACGCTGTACCTAGGAGACAGCATTTTCATCTGCACACCCCACTCACATGAATTTTTGCATGAACGACCTCGGAGAAAAAAACAGCTTAGGGATGCTTATATAACTTAATATATGAATGTTGGATGGACATGGATGATCGACATCATCAAAGAGTTGAATCCAAAAACAACATTGCCATCTTGGATCCTTCATCATTTAGGATACTCTCCCTCTTCGGTCCAGCTGTGGATCATCACAACCCGAAAACAGCTACTGAGCTCGCCCAGAAGTCTTGCATCCGCCGTGGTGCAAACATTGGCTTAAAGATGCAGACGTTTCTGCAGCTGATGCAGTGGAGCAAACCTCTGCATTTTCTTCGTCGGATTCCTGGGCATCGAATGCTACGCGTTGATGCCCTGGAAAAACACTTAATTTGATGGAGGCACTGACTTGAAATATACTTTAGCATTGAAAGGCTATACACTCATTAAGGGCTACACCAGTTGCATTTTGTGTCTACACTATGTGTGAAATCTGAGCACATGCAGCATATCCGGTATGTGACATAGGGAGTCTCCCTGCCTGCTTTTTGAGCAGCTTCTTAGCAAAATAGAAGACGGAGCTAAAGCGACTCGGCGACCAGACGGAATTAAGAGATGGCTCTCCGTTCCGAGCGGACCTTGAGCCACCCTGGCTCCAAGGAAAAGAAAGATCCAAGCCTCCGGATGCTACAATATGGCTTTAGAATGCTTTAGACCCTGGTGTTGACATGTGGCCACACTGTGAGGGTCAGCCTCAGGATAAAGACTCCTGGCGAAGCCTCAGGAAGCAAGGAAAGATATGCCTAGTGCAAGGATTGAAATCACTAGACCTGCGCACAAAGTGCACGGCGCCCCCAAATTCGACACAAAATCCAAGTGCATGCGAGAGGCATTAAAAGGCCCACGAGATTGAAGGTAACCTGGAAGACAAGTTGAGGGCGAAGATCCGAGCTACAGTGGGGTGACATTGAAACTCCACTTGTTCGGTGCAATGACGTTCAACATATGCTGTCTGAACATGTGTCCATGGCATCCAATTTACCGCAAACCAAATCTCGGCCATCTTCAATCTGAATATGATGGTGGATGATGATGGTTTGTAAAAACATGTAAGGAACCTTGAACCTTGCCCAGAAATCGTGATCATTCTTCACTTATATATAGTGGATTGAGAGTAGAAGTAGATTCCTGAAATACCCAAGGCTGTTGCAAAAATGGACCTCCATCGAACAAAAAAACACCTCTTTGGAGTGCGTCATCATCTACAGTGGTTTCAGAGTAGATGGCACACTCCCCAACCGATATTTATTTACATGGACCCCCGTCTAAAATACATGTAGGGTTGCCGGTGCCATCTACTATGAAACCGCTGTAATTACTCTGAATATCAGTGCCAGGAAGCACTCCCTGGCATTTGTGGAAGTGGAACATGGCCCCGAAAGCATGACCACGATACCGAATACCAAGCATGGTGGACTTTTTTTTTAAAACACTTCCCTGTTTAATTCCATGAGTGTAACACAAAAAAGTCAAGAAGTCCTTCAATTTGCACGATCATTTCATGTCCATCCAGTTTCGAGGACTCGCGCGGAGAAGGCTTCAAGCGGGAACGATCACGGTGCCTAATGTAGATTCTTGATTCGATTCATAAGACCCCAGTATGAAGAGGTGCTTCAATCAAAAAGAGGTGGCTTCTACATAGGTCTATGCGTAAAGATCGGGTCCGCTCGCGTCCGCTCGCGAAGCGAATGGGCTGAGGCACAAGGGCATAGATCAAGTAATTCTGAATCGGATCGCCGCCCAATTGTTTCAGGAAATAATAGGCCTGCGTCTGGACCGTGATGCCTGACCGCTGAATGGATGGAGCACTGAAGCGTGTTGCGTTAGATGGTTCCGTGCTTCAGCTGCGGTGAGCCCTGGAGCTCACAAAATCCCCCAATCTTTGCTGATAGTGAGTCTCAAGTCTGGTTCAGGATGCATGAAGAGTCTCACACTCTTTTCAACCTGTTCCCTGCAATTCCTGCGTTCCTGCGTCCGTGCGGCGTCTGAAGATCTGCGGTCGCCCCAAGTCGTGCGACAAGGGCGTTTGAGCCGATGGAAGTGTGTGGGTACATTAGGCTCCATCATTGAGCCTTGACTGCCTATACTGCTGGGTGATCACTCATGTTCAGCAAAAATGTTCCGAACAAAGTAGCACGCGCATAAATATGATATATATATATATATACATTATTATATACACATTTTATCACATATTAAGTTTAATACATACATCTACATATCTGCAATTTATATATAGAGGAATGATTGCACTCAAAAGGGGCCAGGATTCGACCCTAGTCTTCCGCATCCAGCTGGTCACCTTTCTCATCATTACTTGTGCAATGATTTTCTGGCTGGTCTCCCGGCCTAGGGACATACAGACCTGGATGCAAGCAGAGATTTTGCCCACCTCGGTAATCAAGGTTCAGTGTGGAGACCCCAACAAGGGGCACAACAAGTGATCGAAAGGAACCCAGGGAGAAATGTTTTTATAACTAGATCTCTGATTTGTTTAGGGAGTTTCGAGATTCTCAGGGGCCTACCACCAAAGTCAGCATGGTGGAAATCACATGTTGCACCTTGCCCTATTGATACCGCAAACATCGCAAAACAAAACCTCCATAGACAGCATCGATGGAGAGTGACATCTAAATCCCGAGAGTGGGCTCCAACGTCCGTCGACGATGATCAGTACCAAAGTCTCGGTCATGTGTTATGTCACCCCAAAAAAGGTCTCCTCCGTGCCAAGTGGTCATGGGTTACCCTCCCTGCAACAATCATGGAAGTGGACAACTTTCTCTTGGTAAGAGGAAAGTAGTTTCAGGGAGTGTATGTCCACGGCATCTTCTTCGACCACGGGAGACCTTGCCTCTTAAGAGGGGCTCCTCTTCGTGCAAATCTGACTTTCACTCGTCACTACTTCAGCTGTCTCCAGCTTGACCACTCGAGAAATCCTTGATGTTGATAAATCCAGGAACCCAAAAGCCCCTGCAAATGGTTGAGCATCAGAAGTGGTGTGGAATTTCTTTCTTCAACATCATGTGAAAATGAAAATGGTACCACTGGCCGATGACCTCGCTAGGATGTGATGCTGGAGTGTCCTTCTGGAAAAAGGATGGCTCCAATATCCCATGTGCGAGGTTTACCCTTGTCGATCGGATGTCTCATTTAAAAAAGAACGCGCTCCGAACATATTGGAACTCTCATGCACTTGGGCAATCTCCGGCATAGGCATAACATGGCATAACTCTCAAAGATGAGCCAACAAAACCCGCTTGGTTGAAGAGACGCCTACAGGGGAAGAAGTATATAACCAACATTCTTAGACACCCAGAAGCACAGGTCCATCGGTCAGTCCATGGGATCGTCGGATCTACCTCGAAAGGACAGCACCGACTGCGAACGGGCCGTGTGTGTTCGAGCGCCTCCGTCTCACAACGAGACACGTGCAGTCGCACTTGACTGCGAACCCGTGGTTTCAACTCAGGAAACGTGTCACCCAAACGCTCCAAACAGCCCTTGGGTCCCTCAAAACCATAGGGTTTTGAGGGTCCGGACCCCTTCATGAGGGTCCGATCCCTCCGTAGGTTCGGGTCCAGGGTCGCGTCTGGGCAGTGACATGGCAGTGACTGTTCATCCCAAGTACAAGTTGAACATCAACATCTCTGGTCCAGGGAGAGTTCACCCGTATAGACTATGTGCCCGTCAGCTCGGTGTCTCGCTGGTTCCGGTCCGGGTCACATACTTCACGGAGAAGGCCGCCAAGGGGGCAAAGGATCCGATGACGTTGAAGAAGGTGGAAGCAAAACCGAAGCAGGTGTAGCCTAGCTGCGTCGTATGGTTGACTGTCGTCTGGCTTTCTGGGGAACGGAAGGTGTGGTGTGTTTGGCAGGCTGTTTGCCCCGGGGCATGTGGGTTGGCATCCATGGCGTCCCACCCCCTGCCCTGGCATTGTCATGCTGTGCAAAACAAGCTGGTAGAACATGCCGAAATGGCTGTTGCATGCTGGTGCCCATGCTTTTTCAACCCATCTACGACAAACACTGTTTTTTTTGGGGGGAGAGATTGCCATGAGCCAAGACCCTAGGACCTTGGTTGACCGACCTCCCAAACCCAAACAAGTAATCGAAGGAACCAAGGTTCATCGTGGTCCTTCACGGCGTCCTTCTTTCCGGGGAGTTTCTCCACCACAAATATATAAGGGACATTAACAGATATTAAAAGTAGTGAAAACCAGGCAATGCACGCTCATGCCCAATTTGAAGCCTTCACCCTCGAATGCGATTTGCTATCAATCTGGTGCACAGCATCCACTACCGCTGGCCCCTGCCCACCCCAAAAAACACCCCCTGCAAAAACCGTTCACCCATGCACAAACGCATCCGTGTTTTGAGGCGAGGCGCAGAAAGACAAACCCCCCATGGTTGAGATGAACTGTGGCCAGGTGGGTGTCCAAATCAGCTGTAGCAGCACTCCGCAGTCTGCCACCAGCGTTCCTTGTTCCCCGAGAGGAACGCCCCGAGTTCAGCTCACAAGTAAGTGAAGTGAAGTGAAGACCATCCAACTCACAAGCGACGCAATGAAAAGGCCCTCCAATAGTCCCACCGTACAGACTGATGATCACAAATCCGATGGCAAAGTGTTGCTCCAAAGAGTCACCAATAGTGCTGAGTTCTATCATACTGATCAGGAAAAATCATGTTGATTGGGCTCTTTGATGATGAGAGCGCTGGAAAAAGCTTGGAGTCGTGGTCTCGGCTCCTGCCTGTCTGTGGTGGTGCTTAATTTCATTGCGCGCGCGTGCGCGCTCTCTCTCTCTCTCTATCTATCTGTCATCTTTTCACTATAGACTCCAGAGCGGGTCTGGAGCACAAGTCTCTTCGTGAGCAAATGCGATGAAATCGAAGGAAATCCAGTACCTAAAATAATCTCAAAACAGTATTACAACTAGTTAGATGTCCAACTCTATGTGACCATGCAGTGTCTGCCATCAATCCAGCTCCGGAGGGTGCATCGCATCACATGACTGTCATACCCTGGCGAAAGAACACCCTCCTTTCTCCGAGGATCCCAAGAGCATGGCTGGGATGCAGCCCAAGCGGTCATAGCAAAGCCCCGGCACGAAGGACAACGCGCAAGCCCCAAAGTTCATGCAGCCTGCTTCGTCCGGTGTCGTTCCGTCGCGAGGTCCGTTCAAACCGCCGGTCCAACCATTGGCGGAGGTGCGCAGCTCGAACTGGAGATGCGCAGGAGGAGGCGCAGGTTCGCTGTTTGTGCGTTCCCTCTGAGTCTCCGAACCCCCTTGGAATTGGAGTGCTGAATTTGCGAGGCAGATTTCCATCCAGGGAAGCTTGACAATGGTCAACTTGAAAGACTATATAAATACGTTCCTTTCCTTGACACGGGCCGGGGGGGGGTTCCACTTCCAAGTGCATCATTTGAGGTGTCCCCATCATGTCATCCTGAAGCCCATCTTCCAGACTTTACTCACTCCAACATCCACAACCTCACCCGTCAAACCAGGTCAAACCTCACAAACACTGCTGGCTCAAGGTGGCTCTTTCTATGAAATACTTCAAACCAGGTAGTTACAGAATGCGATTCCAGAAAGACACCACGTGCGTCCGTCAAACACCAATCAGGCGCTTTTAAACACATGACTCAAATTGACTCTGGGAGTTCCGCTTTCGGGGACCCTTTTTGGCGCCAACCCTTGGAGAACCTCCACGTTCTTCCGCGGAATCGGCGGAATCCGGGTGGAACGCACGAGACGCAGGGAGTTCCCGGTGAAAACCTCACGAAAAAAGGGAACTCCCTGCCAATCTGCCAAGGTGCCGTATAGGAAATCCCCCTGGCGCAAAGTGGCATGTCCATGTCCACATATAACGATTCCGTGCAACATCCCACGGCTTTTGTTGCTGAAAGGATTCAGCGTGTCCTGCCCGAAACCCTTGTTCCAGTCAAGAATGTCGCCCAGGTAAACTATGGTAAACTGAGATCGAGGGCGACTCTGACCCTCGCATGCATCATCTGAGACCACTGCTATGAAGGGCCCGTGGATTTTCAGGGTGATCTGACACCCTGAACATCCCTAGAACCTTTGGAGGGCTGGAGGGGTGATCCAGCGACACTCTCGGGAACTGGCCGGCTCTCCTGGGCTGACTCGATGTGCCACCGATCCGTGGCAGGAGGAACCGTCCGTGGCCCTCGCTCTCGGCCTCCGAAGTGGTGAGGTTGTAGTAACTGTTGAAGTCGCTCACCGTGACACCATTGGTGAGTACCAAGCCGTACCTTCGTCGGCGTTGATGTCGGCGATCCACGACTGTTCATTGATACCCCCATCATACATGAGTGCGCATTACTGTGTATAGAATAGTTAGGGAGACCCCCAAAGAACCCCCTGGAAGAAGGAACATTATCATGTCATATATCTATATAGACCAACACCATCCAAAACAAATTGAAATACACACCCCCATATATAAGACCCTTCTGGTTGGGAGTCTTATTAACAGTCTACATTACATGAGCTAATCATGCAAAAGGATGCAAAAGGATGGTATTGTCCCCTTTCAGGGGACATTCCTCTTGGATTCTTTCCGGATGTGAGATCACAATGGTGACATGCAATGCTCCTGTTGCACATCCCGTCTGTCTCTTCACATCGGCTCCTGCGTCGCACTGGGCACCATCCTACCCCTTGTCAAAAAACCGGGTAGTGCATTTAAAAAAAAAAAAACATATGCAAAACCTCCCAAAGACTCGCTGGCATGTCAACCCATATCATCCCGTCGTTCCTTCCGACCAGCCAATTCCGGGCGATGTGAACCTCCATCGACCCGTGGGTCCCGCGTTTGGCTGGTCAAGGCCTCACAGGCCCTCAAGTCTCATCACCTTGCACCTTGTCCTTGTTAGCTTTAAAAAAGAACGGTAAAAACACACAATACACATTATGAGTCAAGACCGTCAGCAAACGAAGCGTCCAAACAGCTAGCTTACATGTGGGAAAGGCCTAGAAGCTTGAGCGAGCAGGCTTACATGCGTGGGCCCCAAACGCCCTTGGGAGAACGCATTTGTCAAGGTCCAGTTTCTCGAATCTTTCCACCAAATACGCCTCCACCCACAAAATCTCTGGCCAAGTCTCTGCATGACTCCCAGCACACAAGAGACTAAGACCTCAACAGGCGGATCAAGTCAAGTGGGAATCGGGACATGGAGATGAGTAAGCCATAGTAAGCCAGAATGAAAGAACGGCGTTTGAGATCTGTTGAGGTACACCGTATCCAACACGGGAGCATAGGGATCTCTATACACGTGTGGGACCTCAGGCCATCTTCAAAACTAAGGGTGTCCACAACACCTTGTGGAGGTGGTGGCGAGCTGGGTGCTGTGAGTTCGGTTGCATCCTAAATGTGCTACAATGAGCGTACCGGATTCCGGTGACATCAACATGGTGATTGGAAAATAACACATGTGCTGCTTGCTCAAGTGTTTTCAAGCACAATAATGTTTCCAAGATGATCACCTCCTAGACATACTTCTCTCATGAAGCATGGACCATCAAGCGCGCATCCCTGCCACCCACAAGAACATGTCCATCATCATTGTTGGAGGGTTACGGGCACCCCTACTTCAAAAAAAAATACTATAGTTCAATAAAACAATGGCTTTCAGCTTTCATGTCCATCACCCAAGGGGTCAACATCAAGCACAGAGGTTACTAAACTAACCCGTCAGGCCTTGGCGGTAAACATTGATCCCGGAATCAATCAATCTTTCTGCCCATGGGCCCATGTCCAGAAACATGTCAGGTATCTCAATACCAGGTAGCTAGCCATGTCAGGCCACTGGTGCCAAATGTTTTACCGCAAAAATGCACCCCCCCAAAAAAAAAAGAAATTCCCGTAAAACGTCTGCAAAACCAAGCCACTAAAAGCCGGCGAAAGGTATAAGCTGGGTATCCTAAGGCTCGTCCCAGACTGAGATTATCAGTGATCCACGACCTGAGCGCACGTTGGGTGCTGGATGGTGCTGCAGGGCTTGCGCTTGTTTAAGCTGGAGCCCTTTCCGGCCCTCAGCCTCACCCAAAGCTGTTCAAAACAGTTGACTTGATATATACCAGGACCCTCTAAGGGGTGCCCAATGCAGACCTGTAAGTAGGGTAGGGTAGTCTATTGGACACCCATTGGATGATCCTGGTATATAATATATATATATATGACACCTTCAGAGTTGTGGTCACCCCATCCCCCAACCAAACACGAAATCTCAAGCAGCTGCGCAGGGAACCATGATTTCCTACCAGTAGTGACCAAGGATTCTCGTGCATCTCTTCCGATGTGAGAGCGAACGAGCTCGCTCGCTCCAAAGTCTTCTGAAAAGGGTCCTGCATGTGGATGCAACATGTGGATCAGGGGGTCAAGAGCAAGGTTCCAACCTTGTCTTGCCTCTCCTGCTTGACCCCAAACATGGCTCGGGGGGTCGAATCTGGAACCCCCCACGAGCTAATATACAAGGCTTTGGATCTACCCAGACGCTCCTGCACCCTCATATGGAGGGGTCCGGACCCTCAAAACCCTATGGTTTTGAGGGACCCAAGGGCTGTTTGGAGCGTCTGGGTAAGAAAGCCTACTTAAGGACGGTCAAGAAACCGCCCATGATGGACTGGTGGATCTGTAGGTCCTTCAGCTACCGCGACTGGGATTGAACCCTTCCGCTAGAGCGCTTGAAGGGACAAAGTCTAAGCAAATACGCTTGGAATCAATCCTTTGAACTTTGAAGTGGGTCTTCTACTGTATTCCTGCTTACCTCCAACATCCTCTAACTTGAAACCTCCCACCTTAGACAAGTGGCTCACATCGATCTACCAACAGTTTCGCTCTTGATTCGATGACTTAAAATTCATCCACATTCCCTCCAGATTGTTCCCCAGCGTTCACAGCCCAGTGGCCCGGTGCGCTCTCGGCCCGCAACGCCTGACTCCATGTCGAAGGATGCCCGAGTGCTCGAAGCCGTGATTCGGCATTCGCCAGCCCCCCGCAAACGCGCTGGAGGCCGATCAGCCGAGCTGGGCCAAGACAGCTGCTGATGCTGGAGAATGTGGAAGTTGTGGCGAATAATAGTGAAAGAAACATAGGAGAACAACATAGAACAACATGGGCCCATGTCAATGTCAAATCTAGAGCAACCATGTAACCAACACGCAGGGTTTATGCTCGCTCGCTCTCGCTCTCGCTCTCTCTCTCTCTCTCTCTCTCTGTCTGGGTCGCATCCAAATCATGCAAGAAATAGCTGCTCATGATGAGTGCGCTGACCTTCCTTGCCTGGAAGGTTAGCCGCACTCGCGAAAATGATTGAAATTGGTCCAATTTCATCAGAAAGTAGTTGGAAGATGATAAGATGTGAAACTTCCTAAACATGGGAATAGAATAGCAGAATATCATTTGATGGGCGCAAAATAGCTATAGCCTCCTCTCCCCTCTGCAGCGCCACGGACTTGATCTTCACCCCCACCGGAGAGAGCAGAAACCCCTCTGAGGCCCCCCTGCGGCATGCCTCGCTGGCATCAGCGCCGCCACCCAGCAGTAAAGCACCGAGGAGAGCAGGGTCGAACGGCGGCCTGGCTCACCAAACGGGCCAAACCGTCGTCTGGTCAACGAAATCTTCCTCCAAACTCTCGAATTGAACCAATTTGGGTTGAGACATATTTAGACGTTTGGGTGCTGAGATCTCACTTTGGTGGAGCAAAAAATAACTGGCGGTGCGGTGCGGGTTTGGTTGGATCCTTTGGTCCTCCGCCTTGATCGGGTGTTGCCTTGGTCCTTTGCTTCCGAGGCGTGACGGCCCCGTATGATCCCCCATGAGCCCTATCTATCTTGATATAACTATACTATGTTAATATCTATATCTAGATCTATTTATCTATCTATCTGTCTGTCTTTCTGTATCTATCTGTTGAACTGATGTAATCCAATCTGACATGTAAATACGCAGTTCAATTTGACTACTGGTTACACTGAAATAAACCACTCCACATAAATCCAACGATGTCCAATGCATGTACAAGTACTCCATTGTACACCCCCAGAAAATACGGTTACTACAATAAAATATGCGGATTTTAATATAGCCGAACAGGTATTTTAGTGTACCTCCGTGCAGGATCTGCTGGGGCCGCCCAGCCATTAAAACATGCGGAAAACACATGCGGAAAGGCATTTCCTGAATCATTTCACCAATTCGGACTAGGGTCAAGCTCAACAGAATCTTCTCTTGGCTGTGAACTAGAAAGCAGGTATTGGTTGAATGCCGAGGCATTTGGCTGCCCTCAAGAGAACTGCGTGGACCCTCTTATCAGTCGACCTTCGTTTGGTGCCTTTCCTTACATGCCCCCTGCTTACATACGTCACGCCCCCATATCTAAAACTCTTACATGGACCCTACTTGCGTGGACCCTCTTACTTGGACCTAGCTCCGTAGGTAGATAGTCTCACAACAACTTTCCTTTTGCGCAGCCTGGCATTATGGCCCTCCTTACATGGACCCTCCTGCCCCTTGCCTAGACCCCCCATACATGGACCCTACCTAGGTGAACTCACTAAGTAAACTTTCGCGTGGACCTATCGGACTCTCCTACGTGGACCCTGGTTATGTGGACCCCCTACGTGGACTCTCCTACGTGGACCCTGCTTATGTGGACCCCCCTACGTGGAGCCCCCTACGTGGACTCTCTTACGTGGACCCTGCTTATGTGG